ATGCTACTAGAGAGGAGTTTCCTAAGTTATAACTGTAGTCTGCGACATGTCGCAGATGAACTACTTTACACTTTGAAGTGTTAAAGGTAAGTCCATTATTATCTGCCCAACTTTGGAGTCGAGTCAGATCCTCCTGAAGTGGCAGTATATCGTCTTGATTGCGTATCTCTCTCCAAAGCTTAACATCATCGGCAAAGAGTAATAATTCTGACGTTACCTGTTGAGAAAGATCATTTATGTAGATCAAGGAGAGAAGAGGTCCCAGTACTGAGCCCTGGGGGACCTCGCTAGGACATTCCATAGCCTGAGATAAAGTGAAATTAACCCTGACCTTAAAGTGTTGATTTTTTAGGTATGAAGTAAGCCAATCGATTAGAGGTGGTTTGATACCTAGTCGTTTGAGCTTATTGGTAAGACACAAATGGTTAACCTTATCAAAAGCTTTTGAGAAATCAAGGTAAATGATATCAACCTTTCCCTTGCGATCGAGGATGCTTGTCCATCTGTCAACCGCAGTCAGCAGGTTGGTTATACAAGAGTAACCCTTTCTGAAACCATGCTGTTGGGGTGAGAAGAAATTTAAGGACAGTAAATAGTCATATATACGATCGCATATCAGGAACTCCATGATTGTTGAAGGTATTGAGAGAAGAGCCATCGGTCGGTAACTTGAAGGTCCGCTGCGTCGACCTCCCTTAAAAATTGATGTGATGTGAGCCAGCTTCCAAATTTCCGGTAGTTATCCTCGGCTTAGCGAGTGTGAGAACATCGTGCTAAGCGGCATTGCCAGGATTGAGGCTGCCTCCCTCAGTATGGCAGAATGGACCATATTCGGGCCAGAAGAAGTGTCCATTCTTAAGTGCTGCATTTTTCGGAAGACCATGTCAGCGCTCAGGTTCACTTCGAAAAGTACTTTGGAGTTGCAGATGAAGCTTTCGTCAGTATATTTGATATTGGTCAGTTTAAATGTCCGAGAGTATTGTTCAGCCAAAAGGTTAGCGGCGTCGCCATCCTTGTTGGTCGGGTCGTCAAGACCTACCAGTAGGGAAACTCCAGTCTTGGCTTGACGAAGAGAGGCTGCATAACGGAATAAGGTTTTCGGATTAGAGACAAATTTGTCCATAAGCTTTGTCTGGTTCTGAAGCCTGTCACCTCTTATAGCATTCGTGCATATGTTCCTTATATGTTTGTATTGCCTGTACGAGCCGTTATTGTCAGTTCGTTTTTACTCTGCCCAACAGTGCCTTTTGTGGCTTAGCAGGCGAGGAGTACGGTTCCTGATGTTTGTGGGTTGATGATAACTATGGGGGACCGTTTGAGGAACTGTATGATTTGTAGCACATATGAGCGTGTGCAGTAAGAAGTCCCACTGACCGTCCACATCGAGTTGAGGGTGGACATCCCAATCCTCCTGTTGAAGATAGTCCTGTAGAGCTGACGCATTCAACCGTTTGAAATTCCAGCGCAGTTTTGCTGACAAAACTGAAGTCTATAACAGCGTGATCGCTTTTCCCCAGGGGAGCTAAGATTGAGAGGTTGTAAACTAGAAATTCTCCGTTTGTAAATATATAATCTAAGCTTGACGATGTCTGACTGTTTCTCCAACGAGTTGCCTACTTTTCATTTTCGTATAATCCCAAGTCCTCAATGAGGTTGAAGAATCGAGCTTCAGTTGAGTTTTTCCCTCCAATACACTGCGTTCTGCGAAATCAACTCTAGGGATATTGAAGTCCCCGAGAATCAGGATATGAGTGAAACCGAGACAAGTAGAGCGGGATAATCCTTCCAGCATACGATTGTCGTACTCGACGTCGGCGGTGGGCTTCCTGTATATGAGTCCGACTAGACACCTCGAAGTAGCAGACAATCTTACAGAGCACTATATGGATTCCTCAAGATTGGTAAGTTCGAGGTTATGAACTTGGTGTACCTCCAAGCAAAGTCGTATGTACATGGCTACTCCACCCCCAATTCCTGATTTCCTGTCTTTGCGAAACAAAGACATCCCAGGGACTGCTAACTCCTGGTCCGATAACTGAGGAGATATCCGAGTTTCAGGGATTCTAATCAGATAAACAATATTAACATTGTTAAGCTCATGTAGCTCATCCATTTTATTTGGTAGACTCACGGCGTTCATGTATAAGGAGTTTATGCTTTCGATTTGAAATGTGTGAGCTTCTTCCTGTTTGTTTGTATGAGCCTTACGTGAATGGACAGGTAGCCTAGCTATATAAGGTTTGCCGAGTTGATAGACCCTCTCATTTACACGTTTTTTTACCATTGAGACAGTCCACAAGTGGAATGGTCAGCTCCATCTTGCTTTTGTGCTTGGCCTTGGCTTTATATGACCTATCCGGGTGCACGTAGATTGCAGTTGGCAACCGACGTCTGTTGGGACGAAATGCTTCCAGAGTTGCAGCCACCGTATGGGAGGATGGGAAAGTTATCCTCACAAGCCGGGGTCTAGAATCACCGTCCTTCTTGGTTAGTCTTGTCATATGTTGAGTGAGTATGTTTTTGAGCCTCACGAACTGTTTGATGAATTTCCATTCCCCAATATCTGAATTTGCTTGACTAGGGTCCATGTTTTCCGGTACACCTTGGACAATTATATTTCTTTCGAGGAAATACTTCTAGCGATATTCTTAAAAGATGTTCCGGATGAGACTGCGCTCGGAATACGGTATTTTGGGCAGTATTCTTACGTTCCCATCTGATTTCAGTAAATGATTCGCTAGCAAGATATCCTTTACGTCGGTAGCGTTCTTAAGTGTTACACGAAGTAGCCTCGGTGATTATGATGTTTAGATTCCTTCCCACGAGTGAGCCGTGTGACCGTCAAAGGCTCCATTCTTGGAAGTTCAAGTTTCTTGTTCAGTTCTCCCCACAGCATCCTATAATTTTTGTCCTGCAAACTGAGAGGAAGGTCAGGGTTGTCTTTGAGGTTCATGACTATGAGAGAGTCATCACGAACCGTTATTGTCGTCCCAGGTTTTCCTGGGCGTTCAGGTTTAGCACCTTGTTGTCTGGTAGTCTATGCACGTTTATGAATCCTTGGCTCTTTGATGACCGGACGGACATTCTTGTAGGTAGACTGTGCGTCGAAATCACCAGTGGATTTCCATACAACACTTGGGGTGCTCAGCTTAGACGGTGACGCCTGGTTCTCTTGAGCTCTGTTAACGTGGGTCCAATCACTTACATAGTTTTTGGGGACCACGATCGCATTCCAGGTCCCTGAGCTGGGAGGCCCGAGTTTACTGAGTGAGTCTATTACCGTTGACATAATGATGAGGTTGAGTTTCAACGTGTCATAATTAGTGATAATGCATGTTCATCGATGGTAGACCTGTCGACATCCCTGTTCTTGTTTTCGTTGCGCGCACGTGTTTGTGTACCCGTTTTATGACTGTCTTTTTCCAAATTTCCTGACAACTTATTCCGCAGACCTGTCAATAGGACAATGATGTTATTCAGCAAGACTACAGCATCAGTGCTGCACGTGACACATTTCCACATATGATCAGACTTGCTGAGACTGTTGTAAGCAGTTCATGTGAGATCTGTGCACGCTTCGTGGAACCAAACTTTGCAGTTGTCGCACTGCATGACAGATGTAACAGCAAAACAGCATCCAGGTAGTTTGCATGATATTTTCATAACTATGAAGGTGCCACAGGTATTCGGAGTTTTACAACGCTTTAACCAGTAACACCTTCTAACATGAATCGTACCCACCAAGTGAAATCAAAAGAAAGAAGCGAGGAGGTTCGAAGGTATATTTGATGGGCTATCAATATATCGAGGATCGTCTGATCTAATCTGGCTAGCAGTTGCAGGGGTTTTTGAGCACGGCGTCCCCACTCGTGATCTGGTGCGGATGCATGACCGAGCGCCTTCAGCTAAGTGAGTCCATTGAAACTAATGTGATCAGCATCCAATGTCGAAGACTTACAGAGCTATTTATTTTGGGGATTTATTTACCGCCACAATTATATTGACGTAAACTGTGTTATAGATGCTAGCGTAAGACTAAAACTCTCAAAAATACACTTAAAAACACACTGAAAACGGGCAAAAATGGATAGAAACGGGCGAGGTAAACTGAACTAGCCTTTGCGTGAAAAACTGAAATAAAACCCGAGTTGTAAGCTGAGGCAAAAGCACAGTTAACTGTTAAATTGGGTGAAACTCGAAAAAGAGTAACCTACCGAACGTATAGCTTAGAATAGATTCTTTCGATCAGAAATGGTAATTTTGTTGCGTAAAAACACAATAACGTTAGGACCAAACTTTCCGTTCGAAAAGCGCGCTTCCCATGTTAGGCATTTCAACAACTTAATGAACCCTAGTGGTTTGATGCTTGGTGAAATATTAACGCGATTTCGAAAATCTCGCTTCACTTTTGTTTGGTTAAGTTGCTATTGTTGGCGGGTTGTATCTGTGTTATTGTATTGTATTGTAAAGCTCTTCGGTTTAGGGCGTAATTTCAAAGTGATAACCGATTGATGAACGCGATGGTGTCATGTTATCCAGTAATGGATACCTATAAAACAGCATAATAGATTTTGGCCCCCAAATAATTCGAAATCATAGACAAGACCACTGAGCAGATGAATTTTTCATGTAATAAAATAACGTCCTTGTATGCGAAATATAAGCTCAAGGTGAACATAGTAAAATGCTATGGGTGATTGGAGGAAACTAGCTTGCAGGTCACGTGTTCTTCAATCAACTCAAACCTGGCTGTTAGGCCTAACCTTTGAACATAGTGTTATCCTGTGAAAGGAGTACTCCTTTCACAGTATACTATACTGTTCACCAGTCCAGTCGGAAAGAACTGGGAAGGGTCAAACCAAAATGTAGCGTTAGTCCATGAATTTATTGACTGTTCTTCAAAATCATCCATCTTTATCCATAGTCATTCTCAATATCAGTGATACTACTATAGTATTCATCTTGGCAATTCCATTTAGTCCTGTTGATATGGTGTAGTAATTTGAGCCAGGTTCTGCGTTGTTTATGGTTAACTGACCTGTTGACATGTTTCATTCAAGCATTGCACCTATTATAGCTCTTTCGCATGAAGTGAAGCTTAGTTGACTCTTTGTTGTTCTCTTAATTTTCGTAATTTCAGGTTGTATCATTTCATCTATCTTAGAATCGTCAACAGTCGAAGTGACGGATTTTTTATTGATACGCTAACTTTCGGCACAAACACGTAGATGTAGCTTTTTTACCCCGAACACTTTCAAGTTTATTATCTGACAAGTTTCATAACGAGAAAATATGGTTATAACGGTACCGTCTTTAGATGATGGGAGTGGGAGCAATAGTATAGTAAGTTTGATTTTGTTATATGCTTTTTACACTGATATTATCGAGTACATCTCATTTATAACCTTACACTTTTATCTAATTAAACCTTTAATTCACTGGACTCAACCTTTTGCAGCTTGTTAAGGTTAAATGTTTATGGCTTGGATATTGTCTCTCATAACCAGGCAGATGTGGAGAAATAAATTGTTTGCTTTGTTTAATCTTCATCTTGTTGTTCAAATATAAATCACTCATAGTTAGCTCTCTCCTACCGTTCATCTTTTGGAAACTCTCTTTCTTCCATCAAAGCTTTTACTTGGTAAAGATCATTTGCATTTAATATTCTTTTTATAATCCCTCATGTTTTAGAGGTTTAGTATTCAAAGTCAACACTATACAAGATTAAATATGAAAATTTTAGTTACATTAAGTGTATCAAGTTATGTTCTATTGTCAACATATCTACAATGAATTGTAAATAAATTAGTGCGGTCTCGGGTTCATGAAACATTTGTCTGATGGGCTTAGGTTAGAGCAAAAAACAAAGTGATTCAGAAAACAATTAATTAAATTATCCAATATCTCATAACATTAATGTGATCCTATTCTATATGTTAGAAATTTCAATGTTACATTGAAACTATTTACTTGTCTCCTACAACTCACATTCCTGTTTTCTTGATTTTTACACTATGTCAAAGCAAGTATAATCATTTGTCTCGAACTATTAAATTCATAAAGTTATAGTAATGAAGCTTTTTTCCGTTGTAGAATTCCACCTCTATCCTTCCGGTAAGTTTCTGATCATAGATTATGTTTATGTACCATATATGTTCATTTATTACTGATCCTTTATCGAATCTCTGAAATCACATAAATCCTGACATAGTAAGGGACAAATGAAGGGAAAATATTGTTAGGAAACAAAGGAGAGAATAGTAGTACGGTCAGTAAAGAAATAACTAGAAATAGTATTTAGTAAGAGATACAGTTAAGTTAAAAATACAGCCAATAAACATTTCGTTAAGGTAATAAAGCCCACCTCACTATTATGATGGCTGTATTAAAAAACAAAAGCTGGAACACTACTGGCTACTATTTTGCATTATATCTAATAACCCGTCAATCCACTGAACTGCATCGTTTTTGGGACTCGGACAACACTCATGATGGATTGAAATTCCAATGTTATAAAACTGTCTTTCACACCACGGGATTATACTGTAATGTGACCCATTTTAAAGTATTTACACGGTTGTAATCCGTAGTTATTACTTGCAGTAGTTTTTTTTAAAAATTGCTTTCACATTGCGTTGTTATCTAATATAGACTTTGGAGTAAAAAAAATAGTTGTCAAAATATCTGATTTAAAATTGGTTATGGACATGAATTCTAGAACTTGAAAGTAACGAACGATTCAAGATAATTATCAACTGTGACATATGCTCGTCGTATATAGTATCATGCTTTCTACCTCCATTACGGCATAAAGTCAAGCAATAAAGAGTGCACTCACACTGCATGTCTCGTCTGTTCCATAAAACGTTTCTTCAACTTAAGGTTTGGTTAATTTGCTTTAACTGTTCAAGTGAAGCTTAATTGTATCTGAACAGCTATTTCCCTATATCCCATTCACTGGCTCGTTAACGTATGCACAATATTATGTAACCGTTATTAAATTAAGAAAACGGCAGATTATCATTGTATCACGTAGTTACATACTTTTTATCATTTCAGCTAAATATTTTTTCTAACCAATACTTTCCACTTTTTTACTTTGAATCTAATCAACAGATGACTCAAGAACAGAAAGATTGGTTGTTAGCTATCGTTGACTGTGATCAACCGAAAATGACAAGAATGCTTAATCAACACCCTGAATTAGCTGTATGGAAGGTAATTTTCATTTACTTTATATATATTTTGTAACAGCTAATGGTGAATATGTGCTGTACAATTATGTCGTTGTGTTCTTAGAATTCTTCTATTACGAACACCACTTACAGTTCAAATTCATATTCCTAAATGTATGAACCAGAATAATGCTTAGCTTAATGTTCTCCGTTATTATTAGACTCAAACGAAGCCGTATATAATTTTTAATAGCTGTTTTCAAGTGCATTTCAAATTGGTATTAATAAAATACTGATCAGTATTGTATCAAAATACCAACCCGTATTATTTTATATAAGATTTGGACTCACTTTGCATTTATAGCCTTAGAAAATTGCGTTGTCATATAGAACTAAGAAAAGTAATCTTATTGCACAACAATGATCTAAACTAATTATAAATTAAATGTGCTGTACGAGTTCTTCATGTTTACGGGAAGGTCTATATTAAAGTGGCTGTTAGTCATGTGAGACATTTTTTAAGATCTATCATGTTACAACTTATGGCCCTGTCTAATATCACTTGATAAAACGACCAATTAAAATACTGACCCTCACAACTTTGTCTGTAAGCTAAATCGACCCCGAATCTTTATTCGTCCTCGATACAGTAGCTTATCACCTCCCCCTGCCCGTTGAGCCCAGAATACGATGATCAGCCGGGTTGGTGGATATGAAAGATCCACCTAGGAGAGTTGGAAAACCCTGATTCCAAACCAATGGTTCACATGGGTTCCAGTATCCTGAGGGAACAAATGGTCTATGAACCATTTATTGGTCACCGGCTACTATAGGACTTCATTTCCTAGCGTTGCTCCATTGCCTTGTGGATCAGACCTTTAGGTTAAAGGCTCCGGGTATGGCCCCCTCACTTCGGTTTGGGCATCCGGGTGGTATCACGGCCCACACACAAGTGACTTGTGTAGCGCACATGCATTCGATGCCCCTTTGTACTAATATTTACGTGATCAAATGAATGAATGAATCTGTCTCTGCTATACGAATATTATATTTTAGACATACGTAGTTTATATACAAGCAGGCCAGACCACATCAAACCAAAAAGTGGAAAATAACAATTACAGAAGATCAAGCCACAGTGGCTGGGAGTAGCAGAGATTGTAAGTAGTAGATTGGGAATAAATTAGTAGTGGTAAATCGTATAATGGCAGTTACTAGGTTAAAAGAAAGCATGTGATAAAAGAGGTATAAATATATCTGGCCTGGTTGGTTACTAATTATACAGTATATATATATATATATATATATATATATATATATATATATATAATGACGTTGGAAATACAGTTACAAAGTGACGTACTGTGATGCCAACAAAGAATAACGGAGAAGTGTGCTTTTAACAGTGATGAAAAATACAGTCTTCATATAAAAACGGGAGCGGTAAATAAGTCCCCAAAACAAATAGCTCTGTAATTCTTCGACATTGGATGCTGATCACATTAGTTTCAATGGACTCACTTAGCTGAAGGCGCTCGGTCATGCATCCGCACCAGATCACGAGTGGGGACGCCGTGCTCAAAAACCCCTGCAACTGCTAGCCAGATTAGATCAGACGATCCTCGATATATTGATAGCCCATCAAATATACCTTCGAACCTCCTCGCTTCTTTCTTTTGATTTCACTTGGTGGGTACGATTCATGTTAGAAGGTGTTACTGGTTAAAGCGTTGTAAAACTCCGAATACCTGTGGCATCTTCATTGGTGAGCCCGACGTGGTCTGGTACGCCAAATTGCAAACTGTGAGTCTGTTCCTTTTTGGGATTTTATATATCATTGCCTTACTCTAATTTTTTATACATTGTGATATTTATTTCGTGTTTTTGGATATATATTTTTTCTCACTCGTTCATTCTCGTACTTGATATTTCACTATGACTGAACAGACACCCAAAGTACTTAAGCTAAGGACTATGTCCCCATCTTCGTTCCAACTAATGCCCTTCTGGCCAGACAACATCGAAGCCTTGTTCTGCTACTCAGAAGGTAGCAAACGGAAAGCCAGTAACGTTACACATCACACAACGTCTGCAACAACGAAGATCCAGTGTATGGGTTTGCGTAAACCCACGTTCAGGTAAACGTACCTTTTACCGTGAGTGAGAAAAAATATATATCCAAAAACACGAAACAAATATCACAATGTATAAAAAATTAGAGTAAGGCAATGATATATAAAATCCCAAAAAGGAACAGACTCACAGTTTGCAATTCGGCCTACCAGACCACGTCGGGCTCACCAATGAAGATGCCACAGGTATTCGGAGTTTGACAACGCTTTAACCAGTAACACCTTCTAACATGAATCGTACCCACCAAGTGAAATCAAAAGAAAGAAGCGAGGAGGTTCGAAGGTATATTTGATGGGCTATCAATATATCGAGGATCGTCTGATCTAATCTGGCTAGCAGTTGCAGGGGTTTTTGAGCACGGCGTCCCCACTCGTGATCTGGTGCGGATGCATGACCGAGCGCCTTCAGCTAAGTGAGTCCGTTGAAACTAATGTGATCAGCAGCCAATGTCAAAGACTTACAGAGCTATTTATTTTGGGGATTTATTTACTGCTACACGAGATTTAGCATTAAAAACACTAGTTCGAGGTTGCATAAAAATTTTCTGATAATGCTTCTTGAGTGTTAGTTTGGAAGATCTCATCACTATTATCTGATTAATGGCTCTAATTCATATATGATTATTACAACATACGTCAACAGGTTATTTTACTGTCCTGATATCTGTTTAAGTGTGTTTGCGTGTGTGTGAATAGGCGGTAAATATGAGAATATACTTTTAATGTGTTATAATTTGTTTGAAATTACTATATCCTCGTAATTTCAGCTGACATACCATCTCCATTTAATTATCTGTTCGTCATGAAACATATATAACCAACTGGTTGGATTGTAGTATATTGATTTTCTAGCTGTTTAATCATTATTTAAGAATAATTATTTATACTTTACGTGTCTGATTGTGTACAACTTTCTTGTGGTCTCATATGGTCATGCATACAATGTTGGTGTAGTTCGATTCTATTCGATTGTCAATTATTTTTGTTTGTTTTTTTAGACTGGTATCAATGGAGTAAGTAAAAAAGTATTTTGTATAAAACTTATTAGTTAAGATAAAATACAAAAATTTATTTTTTAGTTCTAGTACATGATTAAAACTTTTATAGTTAACTGAATACATTTGGTTAAAACTGGAATTGTGCCCAATAGTTAGAAATAAAAGAAGTATTTGAAATAGGCGTTACTAAGATTACAGTTCTTTCGATATCGTAACTAATATGTATTTATGAAACAGCCTGAGAATTATTTTCTGACTTTTTACGATTTTTTGTAAGCTACCTCTTCAGAAAGCAAATAATTCCCAATCCGATACACCTTATTTTACATAAAGTTGTATATTTCCCTAATTTTCTTTGGAATAACTTCGCTTATAGTAATACTGTAACACATTCAAGGTTCGCTTGAATAAAAATACTTTCAAGTAATATTTCTAATCATAAGTTTCTTTGAATTATATTACTAGCTGTTATAATCTCTCTTCTTACGGTTATGACCCAGCTATTCCTATTGCTTAGTATTCTTGGACACCGATTCACTCGACAAGTCCCCAAATCAGAACACGGTTGAACAGGAAAGAGATTATATTCCAAATAACAAGGTTAGATGGAGGCAAGAAGCAAGTCAGAAGCCAGTAGGAAGCACAATAGAGAAAACGTCAGTATATTTGTAGTTTTTACATGAGAAGATTCTAGAGTATTCTCCAACTATCGACTAGTGCTGATTGGATAAGAGTTAGCCAATCAGAGTGCACCAAAGCAATCATGCATTGAGCATGCTTTAATCCAGCGTATGTCCCGCTAACACTAGCTTATCGTAGAATGACCAAGTGAACACTTCTGAGGTTAGGCCTAGGGTACTTGGGAAAGATAACAATTTAATTGATGAGATTGTAAATCCCCATCAACTGATTTAGTTAAAAAAATATATTATCTATCATCTACCACCACCTGTCATAATATGAATTGTTGGCTGGTGTGAAGTTAGATTAGAAGCTGGGGCGGTAAATTTAGGTTGAATTTAATGATTACTGGTTTGAGTCATGTTAATACTTCCAGACTATGTGATTATGGTTCGCGCTTATCGTAACCATGGTTGTTATGCATCAATATCAATCGAGATGGCGTGGATGCATTCAGTTGTTGTTGCCACTTAGATCATGAGTTCCGAAACTGTCTTATACCTTTTTATCCCACGGGTTTGTACTTTTCTGGGATCGTATTTTTTATATCCACTCTTTTCTACAATTACTGATACTGTTGCTACTTCTGAGAGCCTCTATGAACTCCTCGCTATCATTCCTAGCACATTGTCACAAATTATTTGATATTCGTCTCCTTAATTTTCTGTAATCGTAGTTGTGTGGTTTGTTAACTTAGATCAATGTACGTTTGTGCCAGGCCCTACGTCAATTATGACTTGAGTAACATTCATTTTATAATTTACTTTTTCAAGTACAAATCATGGAAATCAATAGGCTCCCAATTTATTGAAATCCCCTAAAAGTATGTATATATATATATATATATATATATATAACACATAATATTACTAACGCTTTACGTAATATGTGTGTTTTGGGGAACCAAGTACTTTGACCTGTACTCGGTTAGTGAATTATATTCGATCAAAATTTGTCTTTGTAATTAACTACTTTTAAAGTTGCATAATCAGAATTAGTGAATACATTGACATAGTTTCTTTATTTTAACATTATTGAGATGTTCATATCTTTTCCTATGATGACAATAGTACAACAGTTTTTCAACATATTACCTCTTTATTTTAATTTTGATTACTTGTTAATCTTAGAAATAGATACATTTCCTGTTGCATACAAAATGTTATAACAATAAAAGTTGTTTTAGTTCCTATATGTTGTCGTGTGATATTAAGAACTAATTAATCTCATCATGTCTTACAGTAATCGTACACCATTCCATTTTTCTTATTCTCACTCATAAAAAATTCACTTTTCCTCTTTGAATACTATTTTTAATCTATGGCGAATATGAAAAATCCAATTGAAAAACAGTATGTAAGTATTTATATTCATATATGTTCCTTGATGATATATATTATAGTGTTATGTACTGGTTATTTAACAGTGTTGTAGGAGTATTTATTTGTGCGTGCTTTTATTTACGAATGGACTTACGCTATTGTATATATAAGTTTTCACGTCAGATTTGAGAAGTTTACATTCCTTCAAGTTACTATTTTATCGTAGTAGTTAGCTATTCAATTCACCTAATCTTTGATAAGTTTACTGAAGTAAAATCAAATTATCAAAATTATGAATCTAGTTCATACTGTTTATTTTGTCAGAAGGTAAAAAAGTATACACAGCTTATGTATTGGTTCCACTATGCTCTTATTTGGATACTTTAACTGTTGGACTGCTCCCAGAAACCATGAAAGAGCTTCCATAGGCTTTAAAGGAACGGAAGTGATCCCATCCAGTCAAAACCTTCTAGAATATCAACGTAACATGCTGTGATTAGACAATTATGTAGCTTTCCTATTTGAATGTTGGCTGGATTATAACAATGTTATAGATTATACTGAAAACTATAGGTATCCTTGTTTTTCTGTAAATTTTCGACTCTTACTCAACAATCGCTTCCCCAGCTTCTTTCGATTTGCAACTGGGGTTCTGCACCTTTGAGTGCCGATAGTTTTATACCGTACTCTGCCGTAATTACGTAAGGGATGTAACATTAACTGATTAAAGCAATATTGAGTTTGGGATGTAAGGTTACTGAACAATGTCACGGCATTAAAAAAGACAAAGAAGCTCAGAAGAGCAGAAGGTGTTAGAATGAATCAGTAGAAAAATATAAAAAGCCACGAAGAAAATAGTTACTTAAAGAAAACCAGATTGTAATATCGGTGATCATCGCGTCTTTTATGTTGTCTCCTGACATCAAACTATTCAATTGTATCCCTACGCTTCTTCGGTTAAACCTCAATATTTTATGATTTATTGTCATTTGTCTGTTTATTGAATATCAAGCTACTTTTACTATGTAAAAGTCAACCTTAGTTGTATGGTACCTACTAACGCGTTAGGTTTTTGTCGATGCTTGTTTGTAATGTTGTGAATAGATATGCTTTTTAACTATACACAAGGGATATTTCAGAAGCATGTTTTATTAAATATCCGAAGTCATCTTATGTCTGATGTCTTTATTATTGATGCCTAGTAGTCATAAATTAGGAATATTGCACCTAAACCGCATGCGCGGGACTCAATTGTTAGGTAGGCATCTGACCGGTACAGCAAGCCTTAGTCGTTGTTAAATGTTAGCTGGATCTTCTGTATATCTACTGAAACTTTACTAACGATCATTTCAGTAGAAATTAATACACTAACCCAATTCGGTAAAATATTCAAATATACTTTACTAACCATGTTTAACTTACTTTTGAGGAACTATTTTTACCTTTTAATGGGCGAACCGTGTTTGCATTTTTTTCCGATCTTCAGACTGCACTAAATTATGCAGCTAAATATGGAGATTGTGCTGCTATCCGATTGTTACTTGGAAATTACCATGTTCAAGTTGATGCTCAGTCATGTGTAAGTTTTATGTATTACGTGTTTACGGTTCATCCTATTATGACTTATAAAATGCAGATGATATAGTCCTATTTGGTAAAGACGCTGACAAAATATAGTCTTTTCATTTACAAGAGCAATAATGCAAGCATGTTTGGGATGAGTTTCTCTCCCCATAAATGCGAAATTTTGCTTCAAAACTGGTCTGTGTCAACACCCGAACTAGTGATAGAGAGTGAAGTAGTTGAATAAATTGACTACTTTACTTATCTAGTAAAGGCCAACATCTGACGAATTCTTCCCACCAATTGAGAAAGCTCAGTTGGCATTTGCCTACTTGAGTCACTTTGGCGTAGACGCGATTTCCGTCTGCAAACCTATAGACGTGTATACTGAGCAGCAGTCTTGTATGTTTTACTTTACTGTTGTGAAACATGGTGTGTGAAAGTAGAAGACAAATTAGGCTACAGGCTACAGTATCTTTGAAACATTGCCCACTTTCTGTGGAACGAACGATTTAGAAATATTCAAGTTGGGTATATGGTACCAGGCAAGATAGGCAAATCGGTTGGTGAGATTGCAAAGCTACGTCAGCTGATATGACTGTGACATGTTTAAGATCTGAAAACCTGGTTGAAGTCTGTGTGATAAACTCGGTCAGTTCACAGTGGTCCAGATTCGTTCACTCCATATCTTTTTTTCGATTTTGAACTCCAGTATTGCTCTATACATACCTTTCCACTCTGTCTTTTTGCTATGAAGATAGCTTTAAGTGAAGAAATTCTCAATTGTCAAAATTGATGAGTAGAATGATAATCATTAGTTAACCACAATGGTATAATGTAATCAAGTGATGGGTACTTATAAAACCATAATTGACTTGGACCCCTAAGTAGTTAGAAACCGAAGACAATACCATTAACCAGATGAATTTTTTCATGTAATAAAATAACATTCTTGTATGCGAAATGTGAGCACAAAGTGAACACAATAAAATGCTATGGGTGGTTGGAGGAAACTAGCTTGTAAGTCATGTGTTTTCCAATCAGTCCGGACCTTATTTATTATCCGGCATTGTATCGCTTTTCCTATTGTTTAACCTTTCTTATTGTCGTTGCTACTACATTATTCCAATATCCTCTGCAGATTATCATTTTATTTTTCATCTCGTAGTGCTAATATAGTATAGCAACTTATATCATTCCATGTTAATGATGACTGTCTGTTTGACTAATAATTATTAGAACAACACATATAAGCGAACAATTGTTTTCAATTAGATCGTCATCAGGCTTTACTCTAATATACATGAATATTTATACGAAAATTTTTTAAACCAATCAAGGCAATATGGGTCAATAATCACAATGAAATAGAATAAGTCACTACACATAATAGGTAAAAGTACAAGTTGATAGTAGGAAGACAGGTGAACTGATAATAGTAAGAATAATAAAAAATACAATAACAAAACTCTTATCAATAGTTAATCGTTGGAAATAGAAGGTCAAACAAACGTGGGTAAATAGACTAGGAATAGTAATCACAAAACATTAAAGTCATTACGTAATAAGATGTGTGTAATAATTATTACACACAGCAACATTTTTTTCGGTTTCGTTTGTCCGATATAAAATGTAAAGTATGTACACTCACCCAAAAAATAATACATTATCTAAGAGTAAATTATGGTAGATAATTAGAAAAGCTAATTGAATAAAAAATTTTGAAGTAAATTGTCAACATATTTTTTCTTTGTGTGCACAATATTTAAATACTTTAGTATTGTTGTAGAATTGTTGATATGTGAGTATTCTGCGTCAATAAATATCCTTACACAAAGATTGAAATACGAATGTTTTATTTTTCCACTTCTCTTTCTGGAAGTTAATGGCATTCAGTATTAAAACTACATCAGTCATGTACATTAGATTTAAATTACTGGAAGTGTTCAGTATTCAGACTAAAAGTAGCATAGGTTAACATTGATTATGTAATGATATGTGTGTAGGGAGTAATTTCCTACAGGTTTAATTCTAAACTATTCTCTAGACTGTCGAATACAGAGTCTTGGTTTGGCCAAAGTCAGAACAAGCAAGCTACTTGGCTAGATAAACTTTATCTGTTTCTCAAACATAAATTAACATCGTTAGTGTACAAACAAACAGTACGGTCTACTAATACAGGGAAAAACAGAGACAAATAACATACCGAACAGTAGCCAGAGAATAGGAAAAATGAGTCAACAAGCCAATATTGTTTTACAATGAACATTAAACTGTGATTGGTTAATAAAGAGATACAGTCGTACAAGGTCAAAAGGAGTTGATGTGGTGGTGGTCGTTTCCCTTATTATTGGTGGGTTCGTCTATCAATCACATTTTACAATGTGCATGTCGAAATAGCTATTCAGGGTTACCTGAATCTCAATGTTTTACTCCAGTTCACGTTGGTTCTTAAAAAAATTACTTATATCCGAAAGAACTCAAGTCGATCGAATTCTATTGTACTTTGATGATCTAACAGAAGGTCGTGTATATGAAACTATCATGGTCCCGATACGGATAATGTCACGCCTCTCCGGTCAAGTATTCAAGAGTGATGTCTAAATTACCCAACTTTTATTAACGCAACTATAATAACTAAACAAAATATTCGAACTCATATGTTGTTTTTTTTAAAATAAAATATCTTAATTGTGTTTTTCTGTTTTTATTTCTCTTTCTATGTTACTGCTTTCATTTCCACAGGAGGTAAGTAGTTATAAACAGTTAGTGTTATTTATGTATGTGCTAATTAATCTTTCAAATGCAAAACAGTTTATAATATGTTCTATATTGTAGTTCCTCAGTTATATACTTAGTAAATCTTACCAATAAATCCGATCGATTTATGTATATATTTCTGTCAATGAAATATATATATATATATATATATATATATATATATATATATATATATATATAATTTGTTTTAGGGTATGACTCCTTTACATTTGGCCGCTGCCAACGGGAATGAAGATGTTATATTCTTATTAACTTCCGTGTACAGTAAGTGCGTCTGTTCATTTACCGCTATCATTTTCAGTAATTATTTATAAACCGTTTGGAACAACTTCTCCGAATTACTATTTTTAGTCTAATGCTTTTTTTTCCTGACCTTATTATCAGGAATTGATTTTCACTGTAGTAATGAAAGCTATGATTTGAAATTATTTTAAGAACTACACTAGTCTGTATATATTTACTCAATGTGGTGTGATAGTGTGGACGGCTATAGACATATCATGTGCTGTTAAGTTCCAGACTATAACGGAACTGTTAGAGAACAACTGTTTATTACATCTTGGTTTTCATTAGTTCTCCATCTGATATCAGTTTGATAGTGGGCAATCCTAGACAGATCACATGTTGTTGCGAGACTACTTGGTATATCGAAATCCAAGTGTGAATGAAAGTACTGTGATCAAGTAGCCTTATTTAATGTTTATACCCATATTTCCATATCTGAATTAGTCCAACAATTTATATTCGTGCGTATTCAGTGGGCTTTTAGTGATGCAGCTACCTACACACTTATTCTTCTCACCTTGTGCACTTGATGGGTCAGGGATTGGGAAGTATGGATTAGTAATTGAGCTGAATTGACGAATAAAAGTCTGTAACAAAAATTGTCATCTTATTAAAGTAATTGCCACCATCTTTTTAAATATATCTTGACACTGTTCTTATAAATACGTTCCAAATTAATACTTTATCCATCATTGATTCAAGAATAATGAATTTAATATGGTAATGGAGAAAACAATCACGTTTATGTTAGTTATTTGTTTGTTTTCAATTCATTGCTTATTACTATAAATAGTGTAGTATTTCCCTTTGTTTTAAAATCAATATAAAATTGTCATTCCGCCTTATGTTAATCACTTCCAGGTGTTCTATTGTACCAAACTTTTATCTATAATAAATAAGAATAATTAGCGAATCACAGTTTCGACTTGATCATGTATTATTTATCTGCTTTTATATAGAAGCTAGAACTGATATACGAGATTTTTGTGGACGGTTACCAAGCGCTTATCTGCCTAAAGAAAAGGAGGCATTAGCAAGTGAGTGTTCATCTTTGTGTCGTTGCAGGATTGTTACTCACAATTACCCTTAGCGTCTAGATTTGGTTTGTTTCATTTTGACTTTCTTATAATCATTGTTGTAACATTTGATGCGTGCTTCCAAATCAATATTGATTTAATCATCTATTATGGTAAGCTAATGTACATATACAGAATTGACAGCTATCTCTGTAACTTACTCACCAACACTCTGCATAGGAGAATTTTACAGTTGTCTCATTGTTCTCAAAATTCAACTAATTTCTTGTTAGCATCCGCGAGTATGACAATAAATTTCTAAGGAGCTATTAAAGAATGGTCAGCAGGCACAATGGAATGATCTATTTATTTTCTGTCATAAGGCATAAAACTATCAATAAACTTTGTGAGACTTATATTCTTTTTGTTTGGAGACCATCATTCCGTATCAAGACGGTATTATCCATTCATAGATTGGGCTTGACTGATAATAAGTTATTACCTGAGTTTGAAACACTGTCAGTCACAATCTGAAAAACAGCAGTCTGTGGATAATTATTTCATGTGGTATAGATCACATTTTCAAATAATATGTTATTTGATATTTATATTTGATACTAAGACCATTCTTTGTCTCAATGTACACCGTAAAACATCTAGTATTATACCATGGATAGTCAAATACTGACTATTCCTATGATGTTATATGTAGGTTCTTCTTCCCTTCTGGTTTGTTATTCCAACTATTCACTACAAAATTGTGCTATTATAGAACTGGCATGAGGATAAACATCATCTTTTCAGTGTTAAGAAAATGAGCAATATCCGCCATTTTTCCGTTCGTTTAATGCATCAATGCTGCTTATAACTGTTATTTTTACTGGGGAATTCGTGTTAACGATCTAAAGCTATTTACATGTGTCTTCTGTGAACACCTTATTGTATCACATTCCAATTTACTGGATGAAGAAGTCAAGTGAAGTGAAAGTTAGGATTTAAATGAAATCCTTAGTGAAAGTTGTGTTCTTGTATTCTGCATTCAGACACTGAATGAGCATAAAAATATTAGATATTGAACATCGATAAGGAATTCCACGGATAGGTGTCCTACCCCTTTGACCTGGAGTCATGAATCTAAATTTCCCAATTTATCCCAATATAGTTTATAATGGTACTATACATATATTTACTTTTTCATGACTAATGTCTTTCATGCTACTAGAATGTTAACAAATGCGATTCAAATTTTGTAAGTTGATGGAGACGCATTGCGAAGCATGTGTGCATGAAGGATACTTGTTGCTTGTTGTATTCATAACTTGCTTTACTATCACTCAATAGTGTTTAATTTGTCCTGGCGACAAACAGTAAAAAAAACGTATCATTCACAATACCTACACATTTTTGATGTTGTAAAATATTATGTTATCTGTGCGAAACTTTTGTATATCACGTAAATATTAAACTATTTATAGTATCATCATTCGCAAAACATATATGCAAAAACTTTAACTCAATGACCGAGTTACACGTAAAAATGCATAACTTGAGATTTGCTTGCAAGCATGGAACTATTACTGTAAATAAAATGTACACATATTATGAGAGAATAGAGCGTCATTTATACAATAAGAGGCATAATCTAAGAATAGAATGATGGCACACACTGTACGTAGTTGTATCATGTGAGAATACTAGCAAATGATACAAATAAATTATTACTGTTGAAACTTCTAGAGATTGTTGAACGTCATTGAAATTACGAAGCGATCATAATTACACAGCCATCGAAGCAATGGATATCTATTTCGTCCTAGTGGGTGCCTAAGTTTAATCAGTCCAACAACCTCCACAAACCCTCATACTTATAGCTAACATGTGTTCATCAATAACTAACTTCGAGAAGAAATTCTCGGTTCTCTAGTGAGAAGCTGCAGTCCAACCATTTCAAGTATGATTCAGTTATCCACTGAAAACGACGAGCTGGCTGGAGTTAAACCCGTCGACCATTAGATACTCGTCCAGCAGTTTAAAAGTTAAGTTTTCTATGCGAGGCCTGAAGGTCTTGGGTTCGATTTGTGATGGGTTCGTGGATACGCGCTGCTGAGAAGTCCCATATTAGGACGAAACAGCTGTCCAACGTTTCCTGGTTGCTTAAATAAGTTAAGCGCTTGTTTCCAGTGGTCTGTTTTATACATGTCAATTTTTAACGCATGTATTTTGCATGTTTGCACTTAGTATGACACTACTGGTTTTTTTTTACAAAGCTGGGGTTCAGTAGTGGTTTAAGCTCATAAACTGTGTTAAATGTGATAATGTTTTATATATGTTACTTCGGTTTGAGGAGCCTGTATAAATTTCTAGCGCATAAAATTGTACTATCATATTGAGTTGCATTAATTTGCAGTTAACTGTTGCGTGTATTGCTTAGTGATGTGCTCCAGAATCGAATATTTGGTATTTTTTTACTTGCTGTTGTGTTTAGAATACCTTCCGAATCCTTTGCGCGTCCTATTGCAAAATTGTAATAATTGTAAGTGGTAGTTCGCTGTTTTGCTTTGTCAGGTCTCAATGTGTTTATTGAAATATATATATATTCGTTTGTGTTTTGACCAAAATCTTGAGAAGAAACCTAGAAAATACACATTCCTGTTATGTAGGAAGAATTTCCAAATACATACGCAAGAATGTTCATTCTAAAATGCTGTGAACACCAGTTTTTCTATGTAACACGGTATTTTTTTACACATTATCTCAGATCTTGGTGAATAACTGGGTTATTTTTTCATGAAGACAACCAATGATGGAAAATTCTAGTGGGTTTCAAAGGAACTATGAGTGTGAACAGACAATAATTATATGGTATTTGAATTTGATGTATATGACAGTTCAAATTACGTTAGTTTTAATAAATCTGAGAATAAGTTAAGTTTTAAGTTAGTTCGATTTTATGTCCATCCAAACGTTTACAGAGTTGTATACGCAACAGGTATTTAGTGAATTTTCGTTTCAAATCTGTTGATAGATTTATCAACAGCTTGCAAAGAATAGTTGTATGAATGCTAGCTGCCCTAGATATCTTGTGTTAATTTACAGGTTTATAGAGGCCTTTAATTGACAAGTGTTTCAGGTCTAAGGACACTACGACATTTTGGTATTTATAAATTACATTTTCGGATTACATTATCATTTTTCTTAAAGTTACGATTGAAATCTTTGGAGATTATGTATAACAAGTTTGATGCACTTGATAATAAATATAACTGGTATTTTGAACATAAGTAATTTTTTATTTGATTTCTATGAAGATTACTGAGTCCACTTAATTAACTTCTTCACTTGCAGATTTATATTTGTTAGTGAGCCAACCAGAAACAAACCGATTGCCATCTGATCCTATTTCAAACGAAGATAATAGTAATAATGAGTGTAGTAGTGATTATGGGTTAGTGAATAATCTTAATGCTCTACCTCCTACACCAATTAATTCTCATTTTCCATGGAGTCAAAGTAATCAAAACTGCACAGAAGAATCGCGTCGACAATCATCTCTTTCGCAAGGCCTAGGTTCATTTAGTAGCGGGAAACGTGATTCTTCAAGAGATAGGCATAGAATGTACAAAACCCTACCATCTGGAGTGGTCAATAAAATAATGTGCTTTCCACTAGTAGACTTGAAATTCGTAAATACGGGTTCCAGAATTCCTACAGTCAAGCTAAAATTTGATGATCCAAAAAGAATTTTCGATTAAAATTTTCGGTATGATGATGTAAAACTCATCCAAAATGTATACACACATATTCGTCAGAGGCGTAAAAGAGCTTCATTTTATTATAATCCATGTAATCCTGAGAGTACTAAATCATCGGAACCAAATGTAAGCTGTGTTATTATTTTCACTTAGTAAACATTTTAACATGTAGCTCTAACTTTTTTATTCAAACATTTTTCTATTCATTTTGAAGGTAACTTGGACCGGTACATGTATGTCCCTGGACCTACATTGTAACTGACTGACTGACTCATTTTGAAGGTGGATAAGCAATTACAAATCCGTAGTTGCATCCTAGCAATCTACACAATTTCCAGATAACGACTCAACTGTTGAGATAAATCTTTTTGAAACGTGAAAAGAATAAGAGGATAATCAGTTGTGATATGTCATAACACTTAACATGTTCGCATTTTTCAGTTACTTTCATCTCCAACATTTATCTTTTGAGATCGTATACGGGAGGTGCGTCCATACCAAGGAAATCTATTTTCTAAAATAAAAACTAAATTTTCGTTTTCAGTGTCCCTTAACAAAAGGTAACTGTAATTTTACGGAAGGATTAAGGATAAATTACGTATATCAAAATTTCGACCTCGATAAAGGAGCAAGATTTTATGAATGCTGAGCGATGGTTTGCTGGTTTAAGCGTTCGAATGTCAAGCAAGCAGGTCGTAGTCGTTTTCTCAAAAAGGCTTACGCAACTAAATAATATTTACTAGTCCTTACATAATATGTGGTGTAGATCGTAGTATTATGTGCGAACCTGTAGGTTAATTACAACTACACTAACCAGTAGACGAGATGCCGCTATGCAAATGTCGTAAGTGATACAGGTAGTCTAGGCTGATATGTTGGTTTTCTATTCTGAGGTAACATTATATATATATCTTAATCCACTATCATTTAACTTCTCGGCTGTACGAATTCTTTAGCCTGCTTCCATAAATTCGTTAACTGTATTTGATGTAACTGCCTCCTTTATGAAGGTAAAGCATATCTACGCCTACTAGTAGCAATTCTTCAAAACTGTGGTATGCTGGATTAGTGATTAGGTCTACATTGTACATTCATGGACAAGATCCTAGATTCATGTAATAAATTATAATCTGTTGTCAGTCGCCAAATTGTAGAAAAATTATCAATTATCCTTATTTTTGAGGGACATGATCCCAAAATACCTCGCAGATAAGATCTGTTTTCTGACTGATTACATATCAAAGAGTAACTTTTTTGTCTACAGTACCTATGTGTTAGTATTTAGTCCACCAGGACCCTCAATAAAGTTGGGTCTACTTATCGCAGGTTGATTCTTTTTAGGCTTTAAAACATTCTGTCTGTTCACAGAATTATAATCAATCGGTTATGTCGACTGTGTACTTGATCTTTGTTTGTAAGTTTCATAGCTTTTATCCTATACTAATCAAGTCTGTTGAAACAATTTTATATTACTTACACAACAACAACTTATAGAATTGTCAATTATCTGCAATTCTTTCTTGATTTTTGCGTCATTAGGTAAGAGATAATACTAGCCGCTTAGGACCATCAAATTTACGTTCAACTATTGGTCGTCAACTAAAACGCCACATATATAATGCTCGCAGTGCGATGTCGGCGACGCAAAACAATGAACTAACTGAACTTGTAAACAATAATAATGATAATAATGGTAGTGATGATGACGATGAATTTACTGATCCACCAACTCCAACAAATGAACTGAATGATGAAAAGAAACAATAACTTTTGTATCGGACTAATAATATATTCATCTATTTGCTTTTTTCTTTTAAAATAACTTTTCTTTCCGAAAACAAGATTATTTATATTATATTATGTGCCAAAATTTTAATCTGATTTAATAAATGCTTAGTAATGAAAAATTTCTTTTGATTAAAAATAAAGGAAATATAAATGTATATGTATATTCTATTGATTTGCTTCCTCTTTTTATTGCATCAATATTCTTGTGTGAAACATCATAACTAGAATTGTTGCCGGGATTTGTTTGGTCACAAGTACTATCTTTATTTGAACGCTTAAGAAATTGCATCATTATATTTGAGCTACCATAAGATTTAGTCATTTTCCTGTAAAATAAGAAGTGGAAAATAAAAGAAAAAATCACACTGAACTAAATTTGTTGTTTTATTTCTGATCAGTCAGTCAGTAACAACGTAGAACTTCGTACGCACATGCATCAGTTTGAGTTGCCACACTACATTAGCACAGAGATACAATTGTCGATTCGAATCCCGTAGTGGTAGAGGTAAGAGTATAAGCAGTAATCGGGAAAATTAGGGTTTGAAGGTATTATTCAAGGAGTATAATCCAGTGAAATAAATTTGGAAAGAGAAAAAAGGGACATGAAGAACTCGGAAGATTAAAATTCGGGAGAACGCAGAGTGGGTACACCTGCGCCATTGCAAACGATTTTGAGCCGTGTCATTCAGGGTCTAACCATCGGTTGTTGTCATCTAGCGGACCCCAACCAGGTAGACTACACCTATCAACGTGGCTCAGCCCACTTGTCAGTGACTTCATGGACTTCTGCCATGTTTAAGTCTGGCCGACCCTGGCTTTCTTCCAACCTACACCCACAACATAAAATATTGCACGTCGGGGTAGTCAGTGGTTATTTCTGATAGGAAAAAATTATCAGAATTAACTCAACGAAATAGAAAGGGAATTACTTTTCTGAAAAATTGAATAAATAATATTGACTGCAACAACAATAATAACAATAGTTTGAATATTACAATAATACTTCTGTTTACTCAATGAAGAATCAACTGCCCTTCTTCTATTTACAACCATAGACCAATTTCAAAAGAGCTTCAAGTTAAACCCAAGGTCCGAAGGCGAAGTTGTACTGCTGACTGTACAGAGGTGTGACAGCAGTAAGGTGTTTCCTTCAGACAACCAGCATGACAGCGATGCTGCTTTCCCACAAGGAGGGGTGGGGTTAGAAACGGTCGGCCCTAAAAATGCACACCTCGCCTTACCCACGGATATCCGTCTCCGGCGGTAAGGTCTCAACAAGTACGGAGCTAACACGAAAATTACCCATAAAAAGGTCGTGTTTGACCGACCTCAAGCAGTTGTCCCTTGGGCACCGCGGTCACGCTCCCAGGTCACTAAGACCACCTCTAATCCAATTTCCTTTTCAGGTACCTCCAGAACAACCCTTCCACGGTGTGGGCAACCGGGAAGTGATAACCGCCCTCATACCTCTACCAGCACTCAAGACCACTGTATTCATAATCAACCTCCGTCTTCACTTCCTATTATTCCTCCTACATCAACTTTCACTTCTAAACTTCCTTTTTCGGCTTCCCCCTCAAGTGTCACCATAGCCAACGATTCTAGTGCTCGAAACACTGTCCCAGGTCTACTGAAACCTCGCTCCAAACTACACATTGGACCCCTCAACGTACGCATCCTATGTCAAATCGGTTAGCAGGCTTCCTTAGCTAGGACCCTAGAATCTCGTATCATTGATGTATGCTGTCTCCAAAACACGCACACAGGATCCCAGTGTGGTCATTCACTTGACCTCACCTCGGCAAAACGGAGAGCCAACGAGATACATCCTCCATGTATCTGGCGACCCGACGGCTAGCTCTCGTGGACTGGCAGGAGTAGGGATAGCATTAAGCACGAGGGCGGAACAAGCACTGTTAGAGTGGATTCCCGTCAACAGTCGTCTATGTGCTGTTCGGCTAAACGACTCCGTAAGAACACCGTAGGGTACGGACACACGTTGCCTTCTCGTCGTTTCTGCCTACGCTCCAACTGACTGCAGCTCAGATGATGTGAAAGATGAATTTTACAGAAGGCTGTTCGAACTTCTTCAGAAAGCTAAACGCTCAGACATATTACTCATAGGGGGTGACTTTAATGCTCAGATAGGTAGCTTAAACCAAACAGAAAGGCATTTAGGTGGATATTTTAGCATTCCGGCACAGCGAACAGATAATGGTGACCGTCTGCTGCAACTGTGCTCAGACAATCGTTTATTTTTAGCAAACACAAATTTTAAGCATAAGGAGAGACATAGTCTAACATGGCGACCCCCTACACTAAACCAACGATGGACTCAAATAGACCATATTGCCATCAGTCATCGTTGGAGAGGATCGGTAGGAGATTGTCGCTCATTCTGGAGTACCTGCTTGGACTCCGACCACGCCCTAATACGGGCACGCATCTGCTTGCGCCTCGCTGGACGCAAAAAAGCCACAGTAAAAAGACCCAATAGAACTGAGTTGAGTAACGAGAAAACCAAAAGTAGGATCCAGGAACAACTGAGGTCACACTTAGGTAGTTCTGAAAATGAGGCTGACCCAGATGTTGCTTGAAAAGATATACAAACAGCTGTGGAAACAGCAATGACATCTGTCAGTGATTTAAACCACAGAGTTACAAAGAACCAGTGGATTTCTTCAAGGTCTATCACACTGATGGATTCTCGCAAACTCGTCCCATCAGGTTCCGAACATGATGAAGAGCGACAACAAATTAGATCTAGGTTAAGAAAAAGTCTAAGAAACGACCGTGAGCAGTGGTGGGCAATGAAAGCAAAAGAGATGGAAAAGGCGGCGACTATAGGGAACACAAGACAGCTTTACAGACTAATAAAAGAAACGAATTAATAAGTCAAGTGTAAGTCAGACTATTTCGGAAAAAGACGATACTCTCATCTGCTCTCAGTCCAGACGTTTAGAACGATGGGCGGAACATTTTAGAGGACAGTTCAACTGGCCTTCAGCTACTCTATAACTACCCTCCATTCCCAGACAGTGTGAATGGAACATTGAAGTAGGTCCCCAACTCTAGCAGAAGTTCAAAAGGCTATAGTTAATCTGAAACGAGGAAGGGCAGCTGGTCCAGATGGATTGACTCCAGAGGTCTTTAAGGATGGCGGTTCAATTTTAGCGATTAGGTTGACTAATATTTTAGCTAAGATCTGGGAGTTAGACGTTATCCCATCTAACTGGTCACAATCACTTATCGTCCCAATATATAAGAAAGGGTCAAAATGATCCTGTGACAACCACAGAGGGATTAGTTTAACTAATATAATATCTAAAATACTAGCCTCGATAATTATCAGACGCCTAACTAAGACTCGTGAACTGCAAACACGAGAGAATCAAGCTGGTTTCAGACCTGGTCGTGGCTGCATCGACCACATATTCACCATTCGTCAGGTTCTAGAACATGGGCATACTTATCGGCGTCCGACAATGGTGGTCTTTCTTGACTTAAAAGCAGCATTTGACTCGGTCGAACGCGAGATTCTGTGGCAGTGTCTGTCATTGAAAGGCGTACCTCAGAAGTATAAAACCTTGTAAAGGCTTTTTACTCGAACACTACTGGTCGAGTCAGGGCTCATGGCGAACTGTCATCTACTTTTGCAATCTCAAGTGGTGTCCGTCGAGGCTATCCACTTTCTCTATTTTTGTTCAACTTCATCACAGACCTACTGATGGAAATTACATTCTCGTCGACTGAATTCTCGGGTATTGATCTCCTCCCACCAGGAGGTCTACTTATCGACTTAGAATACGCAGATGATATAGTCCTGTTTGGTGAAGATACTGATAAAATGCAGTCTTTTGATAACACTGAGCAAGAATGCCAGGATGTTTGGAATGCGCTTCTCTCCTTCTAAATGCAAGTTGTTGCTTCAGGACTGGCCTGCGTCAACACCTGAACTAAGGATAGGGAGTGAAGTAGTCGAAAGCGTTGACAACTTCGTCCAATATATAAGAAAGGGTCAAAATGATCCTGTGACAACCACAGAGAGATTAGTTTAACTAATATAATATCTAAAATACTAGCCTCGATAATTATCAGACGCCTAACTAAGACTCGTGAACTGCAAACACGAGAGAATCAAGCTGGTTTCAGACCTGGTCGTGGCTGCATCGACCACATATTCACCATTCGTCAGGTTCTAGAACATGGGCATACTTATCGGCGTCCGACAATGGTGGTCTTTCTTGACTTAAAAGCAGCATTTGACTCGGTCGAACGCGAGATTCTGTGGCAGTGTCTGTCATTGAAAGGCGTACCTCAGAAGTATAAAACCTTGTAAAGGCTTTTTACTCGAACACTACTGGTCGAGTCAGGGCTCATGGCGAACTGTCATCTACTTTTGCAATCTCAAGTGGTGTCCGTCGAGGCTATCCACTTTCTCTATTTTTGTTCAACTTCATCACAGACCTACTGATGGAAATTACATTCTCGTCGACTGAATTCTCGGGTATTGATCTCCTCCCACCAGGAGGTCTACTTATCGACTTAGAATACGCAGATGATATAGTCCTGTTTGGTGAAGATACTGATAAAATGCAGTCTTTTGATAACACTGAGCAAGAATGCCAGGATGTTTGGAATGCGCTTCTCTCCTTCTAAATGCAAGTTGTTGCTTCAGGACTGGCCTGCGTCAACACCTGAACTAAGGATAGGGAGTGAAGTAGTCGAAAGCGTTGACAACTTCGTCCAATATATAAGAAAGGGTCAAAATGATCCTGTGACAACCACAGAGAGATTAGTTTAACTAATATAATATCTAAAATACTAGCCTCGATAATTATCAGACGCCTAACTAAGACTCGTGAACTGCAAACACGAGAGAATCAAGCTGGTTTCAGACCTGGTCGTGGCTGCATCGACCACATATTCACCATTCGTCAGGTTCTAGAACATGGGCATACTTATCGGCGTCCGACAAT